CCGACGCCCGACGCCCGTACCACCACCTCCACACCGTCCACGCCCCTGCCACACCACCCAGAGACGACGACACCCACCACAGAACCACCCTCGTGCGCACGCACAGCGGCGACCCGAATCGGCGCGTGAAAGGGCGCTGGGCCACCTGCACACCTCCGGCGCGGCGTCCCTCTCGGGCGTGGGCGCGGCCGCCCCCCTGGCGAGGGCGGCGGCCCGCGAGGGCTTGAGCGGGGCCCGCGGCTGCAGCGCCCCCGGGGGGCGCAGCGGGACCCCCCACATGGGCTCAACGCCCTCCCCCCCCCGGGGGCGCCAGGAGGGAGCGCGAGGAGCCGTCGTGACACGCCCGCGGCCCGCCGCCCGGCGCCAGGTGCTCGTTTCCGGGCCGGTCCCGGCCTGCGGTGCCACACGGCATCTGCGCAGAAGGGGACCACTGGCAGCGTCCGCGGAGGCACTCGTGCCGCCAGGTCCCAGGAGGAGGAGGAGAGGATCCCGAAGAGAAGGAGAAGAAGGAGGAGGAGGATGAGGAAGAGGAAGAGGAGAAGGAGGAAGAGGAGGAGGAGGAAGAGGAGGAGGAGGAGGAGGAAGAGGAATAGGGTCAGAAGAGGAGGGACATACATGACTTCTGATGCTGATGCTGCTGATGATGCGGATGATGACGATGTTGATGTTGATGATGCTGATACTGATGCTGGTGGTGATGATGCTGATGTTGCTGATGGTGATTTTGATCACGACGCTGATGGTGATGGTAAGGATGATGATGATGATGATGATGATGATGATGATGATGATGATGATGATGATGATGATGATGGTGATGATAATGATGATGATGATGCTGATGATGTTCATGCTGCTGCTGTTGCTGATGATGGTGATGTTGATGTTGTTGATGATGATGGTTATGATCATGATCATGATGATGATGATGGTGGTAGTGGTGGTGATGGTGATGATGTTGATGATGATGATGATGATGAGCATGAGGAGGAGGAGTAGGAGGAGGAGGATGATGATGTCTGATGATGATTATGATGATGATGATGATGACGATGATGATGATGATGATGAAGATGATGATGATGATGATGATGATGATGATGATGACGACGACGATGATGTTGATGATGATGATGATGATGATGATGATGATGATGATGATGATGATGATGATGATGATGATGATGATGATGATGATGATGATGATGATGATGATCGGGTGCAGTCGGAGTGGTCTGGGAGCAGTGCTCGGCTCAGCCACCTTGCATTCGGCGTGCACGGTCGCAAGGGCCCCGCGGGGCCCAAGCCAGACCCAGGAGACGAGGGACGGGCCCCAGACGCCAGACTGGGGCAGCCCCCCGCTATGACCCCTGGTGTCTGAGGCCACCAGGAGCATCGCGGTCAGGCTGCCCCCTTCCGCCCGTGCCCTCGCGGGCTCGGCGGACCCCGACGGAGGACCGCCGACGGCCTCCATGGGGCCGTCGGCTTCGAGCCGCGTCCAGCGGGCCTTCTCTTCGCGCCCTCGTGCCGACCCGCGGCTCGAATGGCGTGCAGCTGGCTCGGGCGGCCCAGCCAGACAGGCGCCCCGCCACCCGCCGCGGCGCGGGCGCGTCCAGGGGCGCGCCGCGCCGCCAGAACTGGGCGTCGGCCTGCGCCTGGCGCAGCAACGCCTCGGCGGACCAGCGGGCCCACAGACGCCCCTGGGCCCGCCGCCGTCTCCGCTCTGCCGAGCTTGCGGCGGCCGCACCGGCGTGGCGGGCCGCCTCCCATCAGCAGCATCGGTGCACATAGTCGCTACACGACAAGGCGAGCAGGGCTCGGGCCGCATTGTGACTATGCTGATGATGATGATGATGATGATGATGATGATGATGACGATGATGTTGATGATGATGATGATGATGATGATGATAATGATGTTGATGATGAGGATGGTGACGATCATTCTGCTGCTGATGACGTTGATGATGATGATGATCATGATGACGATGATGATGAAAATGATGATGATGACGATGATGATGATGGGGATGATGATGATGATGATGATGATGATGATGATGATGATGATGATGATGATGATGATGATGATGACTGGTGGTGGTGATGGTGATGATGCTGATGATGCTGCTGATGATGAGAATGAGGGTGCTGATGATGTGGGCGATGCTGATGATGATGAGGATGATGGTGATGATGGTGGTGATGATGATGATGATGATGGTGATGATGATGATGCTGCTGATGATGCTGATGGTGATGATGCTGATGATGATGATGATGATGCTGATGCTGACGATGATGATGATGATGATGATGATGATGATGATGATGATGATGATGATGATGATGATGATGATGATGATGATGATGATGATGATGATGATGATGATGATGATGATGATGATGATGATGATGATGATGATGATGATGATGATGATGATGATGATGATGATGATGATGATGATGATGATGATGATGATGATGATGATGATGATGA